GGTACATGCAGTGTGGGTTTTCTTGAAACCCTGAACCGAACAAAAATTCCAGTATTGCCCTGGACCTTGGAGATAGATGGGCAAAACTGGAATGTTACACCTGACCCCTAGACTCAATTATGATACTGCACTAGGTGTCAAATTGGATTATCTTTGATATGCCAATCAGTGAGATCCTTAGAGGGGTCAAAACCTGGGTATGTGGGGACAGTCCGAGAATTCATCTGAGTGGGTGATCATAGTGACAGGATCAGCCCCTTTGTCGGACAAAGTGAATGATCAGGGATGCATTCTCTCTAATGGAAACCAAAACTGTCGACAGTCGATTTCAACCGTTGAAATATGTTTTTGCAAAATATATTTATATAGAGATATACTTATATATATTATGGGCTGAGAGGTTAAGTGTAAGACCATTGAGGGTAATTCCTGATGGGCTAATCTTGCATCTGCCCACAGTCCTTGGGTTTTTATAAGTTGACTTGACCCAAGAACCATTTAGTGTAAATGTTGGCTCATTAAGAGCCCGAGGTGATGGGCTCAAGGGGTTCACTGTCTCCTACAGTGAATTCGGCCAGGCCTTGTAACAGAGGTTGGGTTGAACCCATGTGTCTGATGTGTAGATCAATGTTTGGGTCCCACGCCATACAAGGATATCCAACTGGGCAGCAGTTTGGAGGATAAGTAAGCACATAGACTTAATGGGCTTAAAGCCCAATTCGAACTGGCTTAATTAGATTAATTAAAGAGGGGCGGTTCTAGAATTTAGATCAGCAGATAGGATAAGGGATTGTCCCTATTCACTCAGAGAGTCCAGATCCAAATAAAGATTTGGATCAGGAAGCTCCTAATTAGATTATGAGGGTTGATCTTTATCTGCAAATAAGATAAGGGATTAATCTTATCTCTTAAAAAGAGTCAAGATCCAATGCAAGATTTGGATTAAGAAACTCTAATGGGATTAGGAGAACCTCTCTTTAAGGCTATAAATAGAGGAGTTGGGCGAACCTCCAGTTCATCCTTCAGTTTACTGATTCAAGAGAGAAGATAGCATATAGTTGGACTGCCTATCTTCTGCTCTTGTTCTCTCCTGCTATTGCCGCCATAACCAGTTCGATCTCCACCCTTGGAGCGATCAAGAAAGGTTCTTGATATCATCTTTTGGAAAAAAAGGTGATCTGAAGTCATGCACACTCGCCCACCATCAGATTCTTGCTAAAGAACCATCCTGCTGATTCTGCTCCACCCTACGTTGTGTCATCTTTAGTGGGAGCAGTCTTTGGTATTCTCCTTGGGCGTGAACACCTTCGTTGGGGGTTACTACTACTCCGTATCAGGTATATCCCTCTCCTACCTTTTGGTTTCAGATCTGGTTCGGTTTGGGTTCAAGATTGATCCTTGAAAATGTAGTTTTCTAAAATAGGGAATGTGATTCCCACATGGGAGAGAGAAATTTTTGAAATTTCGCCCAACCTACCTGCAGGGTTTGGCCATCCATATGATGGATCTCTCATCCCTTCAAACCAGTCAAAGACAGCTTCATATTTTTGCAGTTTCTAGTCCTCTCTGCACCCTTTTGTCCCCTATTTTTTCCCAGTTCGACCTCAGCTATTTGAGACTGATATACATCAGTTTTTCCTCTGTTTTTGCAAGAAAAATCCAAAGGAATTTCTTGCCACCTCCCAAGCTCGACCCAAGCAGTTGGATTGCAGTTTTCAGCAAAATTTCGTTGCTAAACCGGCTTCAGGAGTACACTGCGCCATGTTCAGTGGAGGCTGGTTTTAAGACTGATTTGGGCGTGAACTTCCACCTTGGGATATGCGTTTGTGGTATCCGTATCAGGTATACCTCTCCCTCTTTGACTGGTTTCAAATCTGGTCCGGTTCAGTGCAAGAGCGATCCTAAAAAATGCGATTTTTCAAAACATAGGGAATTCGATTTCCGAAAGGATTAGGAAAATTTTGAAATTTTGCCCAGCCATCTAGCATGGTTCGGCCATCCATATGATGGAACCTAACTAGGGGTGATCATTTCAGCCCGGCCCAGCCCAGCCCGGAAATTCCGGGCTTGGGCTTGGGTTTTGTGTTCAGGCCCGCAAATTTGAGGGTCGGGCTTGGGCTTAATACTTCAAGCCCGGCCCACATATATTTAAACTTACACATTTTGTGTATAATGTATACATATGTATACAAGTTATTTTACATTATTTTATATATAAATATTACAATATGACGTGTATAATTTATATTATATAATGTATAAAATAAGTTTATATGCATGTTATGTCATTTAATATAAAAGATTATAGATATGTAATGTTTTATATATATGAAACACATATAGACCTGGTCTAGGGCTTTTGTTTCAGGCCCGGAACCCCGGGCCAGGCCGGGCCGGGGCCTAAGCTATATATCATAAGTGCAAAGCCTAGCCCATGATCACCCCTAAACCTAACCCTTCCTTTAGTCTACATAAAAAAATCCATCGCCTAGGCGACTAGGCGCCCCCTGTCGCCTCCTAGCCTCTCACCATGAGCCTTGAAAACTATGCTGGCAGCAGAGAAGTGTTTGAGAAGAACACAGTCTTAGAGCTTGAAAGGGTTAATGAAAGAAATGGAGATAAGATGTCTTGTGAGGGCCACCCTAATGCGTTTAAAAGATTTAGGCACCAAAAATTCAACAGATCTATGCCAGTTCCAAAGGTTTTCACCAAACTGAAAGGGAGCCTATTTGGGGTCCATCAACAAGAGGGTCAAGAAGACAAAAAGAGTTGTCAAAAAAAAAAGAAAAAGGATTCTAATGCTTAAATAGAAGGTTTGGGTGAGTAAGTGTTGCTTCTTTTGGGATGATAGAGGTTCAGATTGAGTGTTCTACATGTTTGGTCTCTAGATGGTGAGATGGGTGACAAGTTTTGGGTCGGCTTGTGATCTATTTGGATGGTTGAGCCGAGCGTGGAGTGTTCAAGGTTATGCTTGTATGGGCTTGTTCTGTTGTGATGATTTCTTAACACTGTTTGTGCTCTCTTTCTTCTTTCTTAATAAAGTTTTTCCTTTATTCATCTTCAAAAAAAAAACATCAAAAGTCACCCCCTAAGTGCCATATCCAATCCCACAAACCCCTTTTATCATATAGCTCCTCCAAAAATTCTTCTCTCCCTATTCCTATTTGGCACATAGACATTGGCCATAACCCACTTAATAGGCATACTTGTCCTTTGTATTTTGGTCACAACGTGTGCAAATTAGGCAAGTGTTGAAAGGTTCTGATTAATGGCCATATTTGTCCTTTATATTTTATGCCAATCAGGGATTTCTGTGTAATTTACCAAAATTATTATAAATCTTAATGAGAAGGCCATGTCCAACTATTCAACCCTCTCTAGCCAAACTCTTTTTCTTCTCTTTCTCTCAAGGCATAACCAAACATCAATAGCATTTTTTTTTTGATAATTAACCAAACATCAATAGCATTAACAACCTGTTTCAGCCTCAATGCCCTTACCGTTTTACTCATCATAGAGAAAAGGCATCCCTTCCTTTAGTGCAAAGCAAGTAATACTTGTGAAGATCAAAAGTAGGCAAAGAAAGAAGTTTCAATGCTCTAATTGAACTCATTACATTTAGGGTGATCAATTGGGTGAAAACTCTAAATCTTTTTTATGGTATTCCCCAGGTAGATTTGAGGAGGAAGTGGAGAGAAGTGGTTGTATCTGAGCCATTGAAAGAGTTAGTTGTACCTACTTGGTCTCCCCCTACTAATGGTTTCATGAAGCTGAATTTTGATGGTAGCAGTGAAGGAAATCCCAGACCTTCAGGTATTGGAGGTGTTTTTAGGGATGAAGATGGCAAAATTGTGGCTCTTTTCTCTGCTCCCATTGGTGTTGGGGACTCTTTAAGAGCGGAAATCCTTGCTGTGTTGGAAGGAGCCAAGAGAGCCAAAGAGCTTAACCTTACTAAGATATTAATTGAAGGGGATTCTAAGCTGGTTATTGGCTGGCTTCAAAAAGAGGGGGAGAGGGGGTGGTGGGCTTTCATGAACGAGAAAAGGAAATTTAGATACTTGACACAAGGAATGGATGCCAAGCTGAATTGGGTTAAGAGAGATGCCAACTCCATGGCCGATGCTTTAGCTAAACAAGGGGTGGGAAGGAACTCTAATTTTCGGGCTATAATGTAATTCATTTTATGGCTTCTATCTGCAGGAGTTAAGAGAGTTTATCTCCTTTTTGTATCTTCCTTCGGCTTATTTATTAATGAATTTCAGTTATTGATCAAAACAAAAGATCCAAAGTAGAAAAATTACAAACCTAAACAAAAAGAAAATTARTAGCAACATATCTATCCTTTTAATTTAGTCTAAAAAGCAGAAAATGTCTTAAAACTAAAAACGATCCAAATATTTCCATTGCACTTTTCATTCCAAACTAGCACAATTAAAACTTAGACATCATCTTACAAAATCATATTCAACTGAAGGAAATAAACATGAAATTTTCAAACAAGTTCCACAACTAAAATTGTTGACAACATTATACTCTGACTCCAGCGTCCTATAATATAACTTAAACAAAAATAAACTGGGAATATAAAAAAAAAAAAATAGTAACATATTAACAAGTTCTTACCTTCCCTGTCTGGTCCTGAAGTAATTTCACTTCCACATTTAATGACCAAAGTGTCATCTTTATGAAGCATTGTTTCATCGACAAGTATTGCATTTGAACTACATGAGTAAAAAAAGAATTTTATCATATGAAAAACTATGAAATCAACAGACAATCTAAGAAAACTAGTGTAAGAGCACATGCTATGCATGTATGCAAGTAAGTGGTAGGATAATAGCATTAGATAAAATTTTTAAATTATGTGACCAAAGAGAGAAGAATGGCAGAATAGGATTTATTTAGCCAACTCCATATAGATGGAACAAGGCTTAGTTGAGTTGCGTTACACCAATATGTTTCCCTCAATTGGAGATGGCACCACACTCTTCTCTCCCTATTTCCATCACCTTGATAGTTTTGTCCTCTAAAAGTTCTTCAAACAGTAGATCAATTCCCAAGCACTCTTCTTCAAGATTCTTACAGGCTTTGTGGAGTCACTTTCAATGTTGAAGGGTTGCTTAACCTCTTCTTCTCTGTTCTCAATGCCTTGAAATTCTTCTCAGACGCTAGAATCCTCCAAATCTTCTCTAGATCCTCTGAAATATCTTGGATTGGGCTTGTCAGGTGTTGTGGAGTTTTCTGAGAATACCAGTCTGCATACAAGATTAGGCTCCCCCTCTTTTCTTCTTGATTTCAGGCTAGCAGCGTCTACAAGGGGAGACGACACCACTTTTTTCTTCACAAAAATGAACAGGGAGGGGAGCCAGACTGAGGAGGACGATGACAAACCCCTGTAATCATCCCCCAACTTGCTTAGGCATGTCACGTGATGACTTAAATGACATGCTGCAGCAGTGCAGAAAGATTTTTGTTCTGAAAAGGTAAGGTAAATTTATTAGAAAAACTTGGAGATACAAACAGAAACCTGCCAAAGACAAGGCAGGAATGGGGACACCCCCCATTACAAACACCAAATCGACTGAGATCTCAACAACTGGAATACACTTAAATTTTTGAATTCTGGAGTGACAGAAATCCAAGACATCAGTTTGTTGACTGTCGCCTGCCCTATCTCCTCTGGACTTTTCACTTTTTGGTTAAATATTCTGTTGTTTCTCTCAGACCAAATGGCCCAGAGCACTGCTGCCGGGATAGTACTCCAGATTAGTTTCCGTTTTTTCTTCAAATTGCTGATCTTTAATTTGAAGCGCTGCTCCTACATTGGTTCTAGGTAAACCCAGTTCTCCGAACTTACTATTTGATTACCCAATTCAGTAACAACTCCAACTCTTCCCGCCTCTTGGTTTCCTTGTGATGGATGGTAAAGGGGTCTAACACAACCCCTGCAAATGATTTAAACTGGACCCTTCAATTTATATCCAAAGTTCCTCCTTTCTTAGTAGAAATAGTAACTTGCCGTCCTACTTTTTTTAAGCTAGACTTCCCCTGCATTTGCTCATTTACTGTCTTTTTTTTGAAAATTTGCCCGTTTACTGTCTTCAGCCAGTGGCCATTCACCATGTAAGATTCTTCGTGCCAAATCATCATCKTCTTCCTCTGTTCCCTTCCAAAGTTCAACCTCTTGCCAAAAGGTTCCAATTTTTGTAAGCTATTTTATCCACCAACACTTCAACCATACGAGGGACATTCTCCATTCTTACCCTAACCAATTTAAACAATGCAGCTTGAAGATTAGAGGTATTGAGTTCTGCAAGCATGCCTAGACACAACAGTGCAATTTTCTAGAACAACTCAATCTATCTCTATACTGTATCTTTTGACTATTTTGTCAATATAAGTAGATTGGGATAATCTTATTATCTTCTTCGATCTATCTCTACAGAGTCGAAGTCCCAAGATATAAGAGGCTTTTCCAAGATCTTTTATGGAGAATTGTTGCGAAAGCCATACTTTCACCGTAATCAACATTCCTACATCATTCCCAATGAGTAGAATGTCGTATACATACAGAACCAAGAATGTAACCTTATCCCCACTGGTCTTCCTGTAAACACAAGGCTCATTTGGATTCTACTCAAAGTCAAACTGTTTGACAGTAGAGTCAAACCGGATGTTCCAGCTCCTAGATGCTTGTTTAAGTCCATATATGGATCGATTAAGTTTACATACCATGTGTTCCTAACCTGCAGCTATAAAACCTTGCGGTTGCTGCATATAGATATCTTCAGTAAGATCTCCATTCAGGAACGTGGTTTTGACATCCATTTGCCAAATCTCGTAGTCATGGTATGCTGCTACAGCTAACAGGATCCTAATGGATTTAAGCATGGCCACGGGCGAAAAGGTTTCCACATAATCGATTCCTTCTTTCTGAGTGTACCCTTTCGCCACAAGAC